TTATAAAATGGGGTCGAGTGGCTATTTTTCGAGACGAGACTCTGCCCTTTGACATAACTTCGTCTGGAGAGTTTGACTAGCACAGCTGGAGACGAATCTCCAACTGCAGGTTATTTACCAACCGCCCCACGCGGTCAGATGTGGCACAAGGCGGAATTTAATGTGGAGTATCTGAGCCCGTAGGCTCAGCCAAAAATTCCCCGTAGACACTATATAAAACGGGGTCGAGTAGCTGTTTCTCGAGACGAGATTCTACCCTTCGACATAGTTTTGTCTGTGGATCCTCTCTTTCCGCAGGCAGAGAGTTTGACCAGCACAGCTGGAGTCGAATCTCCAACTGCAGACCAACATACAGTATTTACTACTGTATTTATGCGAATGGGGACATAACCATCATTGTCTGTAGGTCTGTAGGTATGCTACAACAGAGGGATAGCAACAAGACAAATTCTACTAAGAGTTACACAGAATAAGAAATTGTGTTGAGCTATTATCGCCCACGCCCTGAAGGGACACGTCACGTAGAAGAAGAATGTAGATTAAGTCTAATCAATTAATCCATCGAAGTGAATATTCGATCACTTTAATATCTTTCGTCTGATTTAGGGGGAGGATGTTAATGAAATTCCTATTAGGATGTTTTAATGCTATGTCCTTTCAGAACGGAGCCGATCATGGCTCTGTGGGGATTTCTTTGCTTCAATATCTTTAAATTGTCATGGCTTCTTGGGGATGTTTCAATCCCATAAGCCTTCAAATTCATGACCCAATCGATTATGGTTCTCAATAATTAATCATGTTCCTCCACAGCTTCCTCTTCTTTATTAACTGTGAATTGCCATGCCTGTGAATTGCCCTCTTCACGATGCAGGCGATCATGGCTCTACACACTTCTCTTTAAAATCTTTCAATTTCCTTGACTCCTTGGGATAGATAATCGAATGTTTAAGTGCCATATACATTCCATGGATCTCCACGGCTTCCTTTTTTGTTGTTTTTTTTTAATATATGTGAATTAGATTAGTTATTGGAAAAGATATCGTAATAGTTTCCCGTTGCATTTTGAATTCAGTTTTGAATTCAGAGTTGTCTGAAAGCTCGATAACCCAATCTACCCTGTTATTTAATCCATATGGTGGGGAGGAAGGAGAAGAGATGGTTTCATGCCTTTTTTCAAGTGCATTCGGAATATGAACACGGCACGTTGATTTTACTTTTCACGATGACACCCGAACATTCCTTTTAAGGGTAAGGCGTTTTTTTTCGTTTTAAATCAGTGCAAATTGGAACCTGTGACGATATTTGAAAATATAGTGTAGGTTCCTTGCTTTTTGAGGGGGCCTTGACACTCATTCGCGTATTACAATGAAACAGCTTTTCAAATTAATATCCTAATACCCATTTTAAGTTAAATGCCTGCAATAATGTTTACTGTGAGAGATTTGTTGGTAAAGCATTTAAAAAGTTATTTATTTCTATGAGTGAAGAACAGTTGAAAGTTTGTTAATAAAGTAAGTTTATTTCTATGTCTTTTCTATCTTCTTTCAATTTTTTTCTAAAATTACTGACCAAGATGTCCTTTAAAAAAAAGTCTTATATTTGCTCATTTGTTTTGGGAATGTCGTACGACACTGAAATCCGAAAACGCATCCGGATATTAAGATACAGGAAAACCTTGTTTGAAACGAACAAAAAGAGTACTGAAATATTACACGATATCTGTCCTCCTCTATGGCAGTGAACGCTGGACGATCTCCTCAAAGTTAAAGAAGAGACTTGAAGCAACTGGTTGGCAATTAGTCTGCCACAGAAAGAAATGGCAAACTGCTGGAAAATCTCTGCCTAGTCATTAATCGAAAGAGACATGATCACCCAAAAGAATTTATTTTAACTTATAATGTGACACCGAAATCCAAAGGAGTATGGGAATAGCCAAAGATGCCTTCCAAAATCTAAGCAGAGTATTAAGAGACAGAAAACTTCGTTAGTATCAAAGAAAAGAGTACTGAACTCTTATGCGATATCTCCTCTATGGCAGTGAATGTTGGAGTTATCTCCTCAAAAATGAAGAAAAGGGAAAAAGCAATGAAAAATGTAAGAAATACAGGAGGATGCTGAGGATACCAAGGACCGAACATGTGAGCAACGACTTAATTTCAGAGAAAATGGAAACAAAAAAAAAAAAGAAACTTATACTTAACATCAGGAAAAGACAGTTGAAATTTCTACAGGAGGATGCTGAGGATACCATGGACCGAACATGTGAGCAACGACGAAGTTTTAGACAAAGTGGAAACAAAAAAAAAATTAACCTTAACATCAGGAAGAGACGGTTGAAATGTCTACAGAAGGATGCTGAGGATGCCATGAACCAAACATATGAACAACGACGAAGTTTCATAGAAAATGGAAATAAAAAGTAAATATACTTAACATCAGGAAGAGACAGTTGAAATTTCTGGGGCGCAATAAAGAGGAAAGTGGGCTTGGAAAATCTAATACTCACAAGACAGATTAAGAGCAAGAGGCAGGATGGACAGCAGAATATAAACGTACTTGATGGGCTTGAGTAAATGGATAGTGGAACAGGTTTTAGAAGAAAAAACGAAAAGATAAAATTTATTAAGAGCTACAAACGACAAAATATTTGTGCGGGAGCTATGGTCGAGTATGTCCTAAATGAACACTGCACATAGAAGAAGAAGAAGAAGAAGAAGAAGAAGAAGAATGAGCATGATATACGGATGGCAGAATAATCTTTGGGTGAACTAACAAAAAGACAAAATTTAGTATTAGGAACAAACGACAGAAGAATTGGTGAGAGCCATAACCGCCCTACATACTGAAGCATCATGGCATATAAAGAGGAAAATCGGACCGTAAATTTTCATTAAACCCTTCGGTTCACAATTAAATGTAACGCTTAACCGGGCCCACACTCCTGAAGGAAGACAAAGCCGTGAATCAATGGGGAAAAAAAAGCCTAACTCACTAAAACAGTGATGCAACCCCATCCAATATTTTGACAAGTACATCGCTGACCTCATTGAATAATCAAATAAGTGAGCAATGGTTACTGCTTCACCGTTAATCGTAATTGGGTTGAATATAGTTGTTTATTGAAGGCGTATCTAACACGATAACAGGTGAGGTTATCTAATTTAAATCATTAGTTGTTGTTCTTGAATTTTCACTGAATTCATTCTTATTAGTGTTGTAGCTGTGTTTACCAATTCCATTTTGTCAACTGTTTTATTTGAGTCGCTGCCTTTTTCCAGGACCACGTGCGCCTTAAACTCTTGTCAAACTATATTGTCATGTCTTTTAGATTTCATTAGTGGGGGAAGGAGATCGTTCGAGAAATTTCTAATGGGTGGTATTCACATAGGAGTAACAATATTGAAGTAAGTATTTTTTTTGTGCATGTGTTTGACATTTTTGTGTATTCATGTGTATATGCCATATTTTTATATGTGATATATATTTTACGTGTATATGTGTAAAAAATATTATTGTGTGCCTATGTATGCGCGCAATATAACTTTGAGTGTACGCGTATTTGTCGATAACGTATTTTTTTCATATGTATATAATGTTTTTTTAGTCTATGTGTCTCTTTGCGCATATATGTGTATGTAACGTATTTTTGTGCATATATATGTAAGATTTTGACATTTTTGTACGTGGGTGTATGTGTGTCATTTTTGTGTATGCGCGTGCGTACATATATGACTTATTTCTTTTTATATCTTTTTCATTCTTCTTATATGTCATGTCCTTACTGGACGTAGGCGATCATGGTTCTCCACCTCTCTCTATCCCTTGCAGCTCTCAACAAGTTCCTTCCCTCTGCTTCCTCCCCCAGACCACGTTCTGTCATCTAATTGCTTAAGCCCTCCAGGTATGTCATTGTTGTTTTCCTTTGCTTCTCTTTTCCTCTATTCGACCCGTGAGTATCAGATTCTCCAGGCCCTCTTTCCTCATTATGTGTCCCAGAAACTTCAGCTACATCTTCCTGATATTAAGTATAAGCCTCCTCCTTGTTTGAAACCTCTCTAAGACCTTAACGTTGCTCACATGCTCGGTCCATCATATCCTTTACGCGAAAATTCTCCCATTGCCTGTGCTATATTCTGGTTTTACATTTTTAAGGAATTTTGAATGTTTCAAATGTATAAACACTATTCGAATTCTATTTTGTAATTATTTAAAAATAAAGGTATTCCCAATTTTTCTTTTTTTTTTTTTTTTTTTTTTAATGTACTTCAAAGACTATTTTTTGAGCTTCTGATCTGTCGGGATTTTAAATTTCGTGATTCTGATCTTTCGGGATTTTATAGAATCGGTATTTTAAATTTCGGGATCTTGAATTTCGGGATTTTAAGATTCTGGATTATGATTGGCAAGCTTTTCATACGTAACCTCATAATATAGCCTTATGCCTTCTCTTATGCTCAAAATCATACATTAACCCTCTACCTTGAGTGGCACTTGGGTCTTTCATTTGTATAAAACATATTGTTTTTTTTTCTTTCTTTTTTTTTCACTTCCAAGAGAAAATAAAAGCATTGGCTTACCTTCAGATGATAATGATTCATCTAATTTAGAAACAGAACATGTCGAAATGTTTGGGGTATTTTCCAGAGATGCCGAACAATCGGATAAAAGTTTATCACATGGTGGAGTAACATTGTCTCCTCGAAGGTCCGTGGGCCCAACTGACCGGTACTTACAATCAATATTTGTACACTGGACAATAGACGTTGGACTCTGACCGGCCGAAGAGGCTGAAGTCAAACCGATGACCCCGCCGTTCCCGGAAGAAGACAGCTGTTGGGCCAAAGTTGGCGATTTCGGACAGCGTTGTGTCTGGTCCTTTTTAAGGTGGTGGTTGTGGTGGTGATGGTGGTGGTGGTGGTGGTGATGGTGACAATCGTTATTGTTGTCATCATTGCCTGAACTGTTGTTGTTGTTGTTGTTGCTGCTGCTGCTGTTGGTAGTACTGTTATTGCTATTAATGCCGCTTCCACTGTTGACGTCCCTACCGCCGTTGCCCGAGATCGAACCCGGAGACGTTCGGCCGCTGTGGAGACTGTGATGGTGATGGTGTAAGAACTGGGCACTGACACTTGTTAGACTGCCACCGCCATCCCTACCGCTGCCTCCACCGCCACCTCCAGAACCGCCGTTAGTGATGTTGCTGCTATTGTTGTTGCTGTTGTTATTGTTGTTGTGATGGTGATGGTGATAGTGTGGATTTCCCGGAGTCGGAGATGGTGACCTTCGACCCCCGATCGGGATGCCGGAAATTGCACCCGATCCGGGTGGGACCCCACTACCAATAACCGGACTGTTGCTATTGCTGCTCCCACTATTGTTTATGATAATACTTCCGGCCACCCCGACACCACCGTTATGATGGTGGTGGTGGTGGTGATGGCTGCCGTTGTTTGTGAGGGCCGAGGGTAGATCCCCACTTAGGCCCCGTCGGGTGGCTAAATGGGACCTGTGCAAGACCGTTGCAGGGTGAGCATGTGATAAGGAATGGGAATGGGCCGAGTAGAGGGCCGGGTGGCGTATTTCGTCTAAAGCGAGTTTGTCATCATTAACTAACCCGAGAATATTCCGGATAGAATGAGGGGTGGGTTGTTTGGGTGGCTTCTCGTAGATGTGCGGATGCCATGTCCGAGGTGTTGTGTACAACTTCGGGGTAGCCCCGAACATGTGTTGAACGGTGAGACCATGGGGATCGATACCACAGTACATTGTTTTTTTTTTATGTTTTTTCTTTTTTGATAATTTTGGGGAAACTAAAGTAACGTTTTTTTTTTTTTACTTTTACATAGTTATATATATATAATCATAAATATATATTATAAAATATATATATATACATATACATATTTATTATATATATATATATATTATGTTACGATATCATTCGTCAAGTGTTGGTTTGTCGCCAATGGCGGCTGTAACTTTTTACTGCACTAGAGTTACTTCCCTTGCATTGGTGATATTTTTCCGTATTTAAAACTCACATATGTAAGCTGTAATTTTTCAGTCATATACAGCATGGAAAACTAGTATATACGTATATGTATATATATCTATATCTACATATATATATATATATATATATATATATATATATATATATATATATATATATATCTATATTTATAAAATATCATATATATATATATATAATATTTTTTTGAAATAGATGTCACTTATCAGTGTTAAGATTGTTACACGTATAAATATTTTTTACAGTTGTAGCTGGATATTTTTAACACATTAGAATTCTTAAATGATTTTGAGTGTGAACTAAACTTTAAACGAATTCGTAGAATATGTAATTACAATTTGAATGCGTTTATTGACATCTTGCAACTGCTAATTATAATGTTATCATCTGTAATTAGTGTCAGTAATTATAACTTTTGTTAATTTTCCTTATTAGCGCTAATTGTCCCTGTGTGTGTGAAACTTAAGCCTTTTCAAAGCGCGTACAATTTTATGTGCATTTAATATATCTGGTAGTTTGAGGTGTAAGGTATACATTTCAAAGGAATCTTACGCGGAGATATAAATAAAGACTGATTTAATCAGAGTAAAATCGTTTATGTGTACACTTTTCATTTATTTATTTTGTGTGCCAAGGTCAAATTCACATTCACCTACCTACGAGAACTGTCTTATAGCTGTCTTGTAATACATGCTTAGAAAATTAATTTTAAGCAAGGATGTTGGAAAGAGTTTGCGTGAGTGTGTGTAAAAGAAGGCTGCGAAACTTGCAAAATCTGAATTTGTTAACTTTAGATATGCATATATGTTTCCTTTTTCTAATACATATATATATATATACATATACATATATATATACATATATATATATATACATATATATATTAAGATGCCAGTGATTTCATGTATGACTTAATAATAATAAAGTTATACCTAGAAAGTGTGCACAATATGGAAGAAAATATGCTGTAATGATGTGTGCGTCAGAATGAAATCAAAAATTTCTATATATTACATCAACTTTTCCTGTTGTAGTTGGAGCCATCAGGACTGGTTGGAATATATTATGTAGACTAATTGAAGGGTTTGTATTTTATTTGTTTGGTTTTTTTTTTACAAAAATTGTTTTTTTTTGTTTTTGACTTTTTTTTTTTTTTTTTTTTTGTTCTTTTTGTTTTGTCAGTCTGTTGGTTGTCACGATGCCATTTTAATGACCAACCCAGACAAAAAAAGCGGGAAAAAAATCTGAATTTATATAAATAAAGTTGAAAGCGAATAATAATAATAATAATAATAATAATAATAATAATAATCCTGGTTTTAAATCGAATATAATACTCAAAGAATTGTGTGGTGGGTCCGTTTTTTTTTTTTGTTGTCGTCCCTACAGGAAGGTTGAAAAAAAAAAATTAATAATGAAATATTCTGTTCGGTTCGCGTTTTTTGACTCTTCTCCGACGTCGTTGTTCTTGGAGTAATTATCTTTTCATAATCTTTTGTCCAGACTTCGATTATCTTTTGGTTCACATGAAGAAATCCGAAAAGGTAGACAATGTCTTTGGGAACTTGATTATCTCCGTTCAATTTTTTGAAGTTGAAACACTCAAAATGAGATGTATATAATTATCTGTTTTCAAAAAGGTTCTGATAAAAAAAAAAAAAAGATAAAATAAATTGAAAAATTAAAATTAAAAAAAATCTAAAAAAACAAAAACACATGCAACGCTGAAAATAAGGTAATGATATATCCAAATATTAGCGAATGCTGGACAATCTGGGAATTGTTCTAACAGAGGATGTAAAGTGCGACACTGACATTGGAAAGTGCATTGGGATAACGAAAGACGCCTTCCAGAAGTTAAGCAAAATAATAAGAAACAGAAAACCTTTGAAAGAAAACAGGTCTGGAGAACTTCACAAGATTAAAAATTACAAATTGGACATACCAAAATCAAACAAGTAGAAGAATTTAAAAATCTGAGCTAATATCGTTTTAACAGACACAGAAAAATGAAATTGAAAATGAAGACTTATTCGGATGCTTCTTCGAAGCCTTTCAAAAGATAAGCAAAAGTATTAAGAAACAGAAAAAATTGTTCGAAACAAAGAAAAGAATTCTGAACTGTTACGTAATATCCCGCCTTATAGGCAGTGTATGTAAGACAAGTTGGGAATATCAAAGATGAAGAAGAGAACTTGTTTTTAACAGAAAGAAAAAGAGAACTGGACTGTTATGTAATCAAGTAACCCGGATATAAAAGAGTTCTCAGGACCGGAGAAAAAGTTTCTTATATCCGGGTTTATCCGGAAAGGTTTGGTCTATTTTGTTTCTAAAAAAATGGGCTCTAATCAATGACCAGAGAGTTAAATCTTCTCTTATATACCATTATCTTATATCCGGGTTTCGCACTTACTTATCAATTCTCCTATATGGCAGTGTACTGTTTTTTCAGTTATCTTATAGGAATAATGACTTGAAACAAAACAAAGAAAAAATACTGAACTGTTATGTATTGTCAGTCCTCCTATATGGCAGTGTATGTTAGACAATCACCTCACAGATCAAAGAGACTTGAAGCAAAAAGAAAGTCGGCTATTTGAATTGTTATAAAAATACGCCAGTCCTCTTTATATGACAGTGAATGCTGGACAATCTCCTTACAGATGAAGAAGAGACTTGTAACAAAACAAAGAAAAGAATACTGAACTGTTATATAATGTCAGTCCTCCTGTATGGTAGTATATGCTGGACAGTCTCCTCACAGATCAAATAGACTTGAGGCAAAAGAAAGAAAAGAATACTGAACTGTTATATAATGTCAGTCCTCCTATATGGTATTTTATATTATTGGACAGTCTCCTAAAGATAAAAAATAGACTTGAGGCAAAAAGAAAGAAAAGAGTACTGAATGGTTATGTTTTTATCAGTCGTCCAATAGTAGTGAATCCTGGACAATTCCTCACAGATGAAGAACTTTTGATCATTAACAAAACCTTCATAAAAGAGTACTGACATGTTTTTTAATAAGTCCTCCTATTTGGCAGTGAAAAAGGATAAAAAATCTTCACAAAATGAAGAAAAAATTTGAAGTAACACAGATAAACAGAAAAAATTACATGAACTGTTATTAATTTCAATCCTCCTATAAGGCTTGAACGCTGGACAATCTCATTTCAAGATGAAGAAGAAACTTGAACAACAGAAACAAAGAAAAAGTACTGAACTGTTATTTAATATCAGTCAAATCCTATATGAAAGTGAGTAAACATGCTGGAAAATTTCACAGACAAAGAAATAATTGAAGTAACAGAAACAAAGCAAAAGAGTACTGAAATGTATGTATTATCAGTCCTCCTAAATGGCAGTGAATGCTGGACAATCTCCTCAAGATGAAAAATATATTTTGATTTAACACCCTTTCAAAGAATCACTGTTCATGTTGAACTTTTTTATGTAATATCAGTCCTTTTAAAGAAAGAAATTGGTTTGGACAATTTCACAGATGAAATAAAGAGACTTGAAATTAAAACAGAAAAAAAAAAAAGAACTGAACTGTTATGTAATATCAGTCCTCCTATATGGCAGTGAACTTCTCAAATTAAAAAAATGAACAAGAGAATTGAACAACAGAAACAAAAAAAAATTCTTACTGAACTGTTATGAGAGAATCATTTCTATATGAAACAGTGAATGTTTTTGGACAATCTCCTCACAGATGAAAAGTTTAAAAGCAACAGAAAACAAAAATGTTTAAAGACTGTTATGGTAAGAATCAGTGGAATCTTTTCTGGCAGTGAATGCATGACAATCTCCTCAAAATGTTTAAAAGAGTCTTATGAAGCAACAGATAAAAATAAAACAGAGTTTCTTACTCATGTAATATCAGTCCTCCTATATGGCAAGTAATTGCTGGAAAATCTCCATACAGATAAGCTAGAAAGAATTCTAAAAAAAAGAAACACATTTCTTCGGATGTAGAATACTCCGACAAAATGAACAGTTTAACTCACATATTCAAATATCTTTTGGGAACTCCTGTTTACATCTTCAGACCTTTTGAACCCTGTATCTTTTATTGTCC